CTTGGCCGGCCAATTCTGAGCCGGCCAAGCTTTGGGCCGCCCTCCTGGAGGTGCCCGCCGCCCCTTGCCTAGCTCAGCCGGGGGCGCGGCCAAGGACTTGACTGACCAAATCTCAGCTGGCCAAGCTTGGGGGGGTGATTTTGGAGGTGTCTAGCACCAGTATCCAAGCTTGGCCGGCCAATTTTGAGCCGGCCAAGCTTTGGGCCAGCCTGCTGCAGGTGATCCGGGCCACATTCTGACCTTGGCCGGCCAAGGTTGGAAAGTTGCAAAGTGGGCCGGCCAAGCCCATTATCAGCCGGCCTAGCTTGGAATGGCAGCCTTCAAGGTGGCCTGAAGCTGGAATGGAGCTTGGCCAGAGGAAAAGAGGCAGAAATCACACCTGGCCAGAGCTGACGATGGCCAAAATGACCAAAAACGGCCACACATGCACTTGCCCAAGAAGGCCCCAAAATGGCTCAGAATGGCTCAAAAGGGCTGGCCAAGGCCGACCCAGACAGAAATAGCCAAGAATTTGATGATGAAGCTAAGCCAAGCCAAACAAAGCAAAACCACCATCCAGCTCGTCGACCCGGCGCTGCAACCGCGCAATCTCCATCTGCTGCGCGTCGAGCTGCGCCGATAGGGTGCGTGCCGTACCCGCCGCCGGCCGCTCCGCGTGCGCCTCTTGCGCCTCCAGCCGCGACCGTATCTGCCCTACGCTGCGTAGCTGCGACTCCAACCGCTCGCGCAGCTCACCAACGCTCCTCTCTCGCGCGGCGAGATCCCCCGCCGCAGCAGTGGCGGCGGCGGCGGCGGTCGACGCCTCCCAGCGTGGGCAGCTCCGGGCCCGCCAGCGGCGAATTTTCCGACGCGCTTGTGCCCAGCCACTGCGGAATGAGCTCGAGGAGCTCCGAGCGGAGCCGCGCGCGCACACCTAATGCAAGGCTTGGCCGAGCGCGTCTTGCTACTCTTTTGCTCGGACCGTGCCGCGAATACCCCGGGGCCGATAACGTATAGGGTTTCAGGGATAACCTGACTACTCCTCTCGACTAATGGCCATCTAAAGATTTCGCCGTCGTGGTCGACGACCGCTTCAGCCGCAGCCACGGTCGAATTCGGCGGCGAGACCTCGTCACTCGGCTCGGGCTGAGCCGCCTATAAGCGGGTCTCTGCCCTGTGCGGGAGGGAGCTGCCGGGTGGGTCGCAAGGGCGCGCCCGAGCGGGCCGAAGAGGCCCGAAGCTGGAGGTCGGCCATGGGAAGGACTTCAGCTGCTCTCAATTCACGCCTCGTTTTGTGGGACGCCGCTCGCTTTTGTTTCTTCTTTTTTGATTCACAGACGGCGGCGCGGGGGGGTACCCCTGTGGGGGGCTGATGTTTGAATGGTGGCGGGGGGAGGGGGGACCGCCTAATTCGACCGTGCTGATCACGGATCTGACGTCTGTTTAAGCTGTAGCGACGATCTAACCGGGAAACCCCGCATCTCCTTGGCCTATACCTAACCCTAGCTCCGTAGCTCGACAGCCCTATCCCTAACCCTAGCTACGTAGCTCGACAGCCCTATCCCTCGCCATCCGCGGCGCTGCACCGCGGATTCGAACGGCTGCTCGCTCCTGCTCGGCGGCTGGCCAGTCAGCAGGGCGCTTCGAGAGGGCGGTCGCCGTCAGTGCACGTTGACTATCATGGCGAGCGAGCAGCCCCGCAGTGAGTGGATGCACACTGTGTGCTTTATCCGGCGGTATATTTTTGGGCTCCGGGTGCACCCGAGCCCACCCGAGAGGTGTCCCCAAGGGTCTGGGGCCATTTTGCTAAAAATCGAGCAAAGTCAGCTCCGCCTCGCGCGTTGCACTCATAGCCCTCGCTCATCGCCACTTATTATCGTCGAGTAGTACAGGTACTGCGTGGGGGCGGTACGTATTGCCGTATCACTAGCTCCGAGTAGAGGGGGCGTGCTGCAGTTAAGGGGAAACCTGGTACGCGGGGCTAACCCTCGGAGAGTATTCTCGTATTACTAGCTCTGAGTAGAGGGTGCGTTCTGCTGCTAGGGGAAACCCGGAGCGCGGAGCTATCCCTCGGAGACCCGTGTTATGGCCCTGCGACCGCGCACCCCCGGGGCTAGGGCTCTCTAGCCCGTAACCCGATGCCGATCATCCGGCCCGCTGGGTGCGCTTCTCAGCTCCCCGGCCCTGGATGTGAGGTTGATGACTGCACTCCAAGTGCTCCAAGGTTTACGTCACTTTTTTTGACTAGATCGTCGGCCGAGCTGGCCGTGACAGCATTTTTCGCAGGTTTAGGCGGGTTTTGCACCATAGACTTTTTGCAACTAGTCGACCGTGAACTCAGCCCCCAAAGTGCAAAGAGTCAAGGCGCAGTGTGGAGAATGGCTTGGGGCTATCTTCCGATTAGAAAACTGTGCAGGGGAATGCAATCCCCAACTCTACTTCCAACTCGGGCGCGCGTCGGTGTACCGGTCCAGGCGCAAGGCGAGCACGGCCGCTGCTCCAGCCGCCTCGTCAACCTGCGCACAGGCAAGCGGGGAGTGAGAGGAGGGGAGCCCCTGAGCCCAGCGGCGGCATCGCGCCGCTCGCTCGCCTTCCTCGCCTTCGCCTTGCCTCGCGGTGGCTGCCCTGCCGGCGCCGACAGCTCCGCGACGCCGCTGGGCAGCTGCGGCCCGACCGACGAGTCGAGCGCCGCCTCCGCCTACCGAAACTCGCCGCGTGAGGAGAGGCGAGAGACGCTCCAACCTGCCGGCCTCGCATCTGCCGGTTGCGCCGCCGCCTCTGTGCCCGCGAGCGGCTTGAGCCCGAGGAGCGCCCGGATGCGGTTTGTCTCTGCGACGCTCGCCGAGACCTCGCCTCCCTTCTCCTTGACGACCATCTCCACAGCCGCCGGGTCCGCCTCTGCGCCTCCCGCAGCCGCGCCTCCCGCAGCCACGCCCCCGCTGCTGCCCGCCGCCGCCTCGGCCGGCGCCCGCCTCTCTGCCGCACGGTCCCGCCCCCCCTCGCGCTTGTCCACGGGCTCCTTGCTGCGGCTCCGACTGCGGCTGCGTCTGCGGCGGCTGCGGCTGCGGCTGCGGCTCCGCGAGCGGCGGCGGCGGCGGTGGCGGTCCCTGTCCCGCCGACGGTCCCTGTCGCGGTGGCCGTGGCGGTGGCGGCCGCGTCGGTCGCGATCGCGGTCGTCGCGGTCGCGGTCGCGGTCGTCGCGGCTGCGGCTGCGGCTGCGGCTGCGGCTGCGGCTGCGGCTGCGGCCGCGGCTCCGGCTGCCTTCCCGCTTCCCCTGTCCTCCGGCTGCGCTGTCCTCGGCGGCGGTGGCTTGCGCGGGTGCGGGTGCGGGAGTGGGAGCAGCAGGCGGCTTGGCAAACTTCTTCTCCTCGGCCTCGGCGCGTTGCTGCGCCTTGAGCTTGCGGTAGTACAGGTTCTCCGCCATGCGCTGCGCGAAGGAGTCAGCGTCAGCCGTTAGAGCTTCCTGCGGCCCGGCGTCGGGTGCGAGCGACTCGTCGCGTTTGCCGTCGATGACGTCCATGCTCCATCCTCCGATGCGCGAGCCGTCGCTCAGGCGCAGCCCACCCGGCTGGAAGGGGTCGCCCATCGTGCTCTCGCACACAAGCGGCGGGGCCGGAGCTCGAAAAAAGAATTTACGCGACCAAAAGATAAAAAAACGATCCTCCCATCCCTCCCTTGGGTTGTCTGTTTTCTTTCTTTCTTTCTTAGAGAAAAGCGGGGTTTTAAAAACAAGAACCGAAAAGAACAAGGAAAAGAAATCGTGGGCGGGGGCGGGGGGGCTGTAACCCCAAAGGGGTGCGTGTGTAAAGAACATATGGAGCGAGGAGCGGGGTTTTAAAAACAAGAACCGAAAAGAACAAGGAAAGAATTCTTGTAAGGCGGCTCCACCGGAAAATCGCGCGCTCCCTCGGAAGGCGCTGCTGCGCCCCCCCCCCCCCCCCCGCGGGCGCCTCACACCCGTGTGCCGTGAGTGAGACTACTGGAGAGAATTGCAGAAAAAGACTCAAGATGCAAGGATGCGAGAAGATTTCTTGTTGTTTAATAAAAATCTCTCTCTCTCTCTCTCAGGATGCGCGAAGAGAGGGAGGCGCGAGAGGCTCACTCAACACAACAGCCTCTCCCTTCCCGCCGAGCGCACGGCGGCGCTGCTGGCCCACGACTCCAGCGGGCGAGCTCTGAGCGCGGACGCGTGCACTCCGGTAGGGACCCGAGCCCGGCGCCTGCCGCCGCGCGCATCCCGCAAACCTCGGGCTTCACGGCTAACGAGAAAGAAAGAAACAAAACAATCCATAACGAGGGATGGGTCGCCCATCGTGCTCGGGCAAACACACAAGCGGCGGAGCTCGAAAAAAGAAATTAAAAGTTCGTATAGAGTATGAAGCGGAGTTTTAAAAACAAGAACCGAAAAGAACAAGGAAAAGAAATCGTGGGGGAAAGAATTTTGCGGTGGAGCGCCCTCCCGTGCCCAGTGTTGTGCGAAAAAAGAACTAGGGGTCCTGCCGCTCAGCCTCCCCCTCCTTCCCGCAGAAAAGAATTCGCGGAATGGAGCTGGGGGGCCTCTGCCCTTAGCTCCCATGTCCCCGCAGCCCGCACCTCGGCGTCAGCTGCACACTTGCTTTTCCCACTGTGACCCTGTGCGGATTGCAGGGTGCCGTTCAAGATGAAGATGCTGCCGTTCTCCCACGACGGTCGACGCACGAGCCACGAATGGACCATGCCACAACGCACTCCCGCCAGAAAGAATTTTAAAACGCACAAGGAGAAATCATGCACAAAAGATTTGCCCGGTGCCTGGCAGTGGGTTTCACTTTCTTTTTATAGCTACCACAAAAGCCACCCACCATGCCACCCACACTCGGGGGCCCTATAGCGCGGTGGAAATGGTAACCAAAACCCCCAAGGGCCTTGGCCCTTGGAGTGGGACCTCTGGGACCTGGCGCAGCTAGCGCTCGCGCTGCTCCACGCCCACCCGCCCGCCACCCCGCCGCCGCGCGCTCTCTGCTCTCTCTCGCGGCTACAGCTCAGCCGAGGCGTAGGGCGCTCTCAAACGCGTCCGCCAAATTGCCGCCCATCGCGCCGCCGCCCGCCACGCCACCACCCGCCGCGTTGCCGCCGCTCTCGCCGCCGCCCGCCGCGCCGCCGCCCGCCGCGCCGCCGCCCGCCGCGCCGCCGCCCGCCGCCTTGGCCTCCTTCCACTGCTTTCCGAGCTCGGCCATGAGCTCGCCGTGGCTGAGCCTTGGCCGCTCCTGCTTGAGCGCGCCGAAGCGCTCCTTGACGAAGGAGGCGAAACCGGTCGGCGCGCGCGCCTTGATCTCGATGCCGTCGCGGTCGAACGCGCCGAGCAGCCGCAGCCTGCCCTTGCAACGCGCGCAGCACTGCCTCGTGAGGTCGATCGACTTGGTGTGCCGCCCAAAGGTCTGGCCGCAGCCCGAGCAGGAGTAGCGAAACTTGTAGTAGATGTCGTACGAGTGGCACGTCGACACCTATTTGCCGCGGCGAATCTCGGCGCGTCCCGGCGAGGGATGCGAGCGGCGAGGGAGAGGCGTGCGAGCGGCGTGCGAGCCTGCATCGCCGGCACGCGCCGCATGAAGAGGCGCGCCCACCGCCAAAAGGCGGCGCCGTGCGGCGGGTTCGCCTCGCCGTCGAGGAGCCACTGCGCCGCGTGGCACATCTCGTGCGCCAGCGTGCTGCGCAGCCGCTCCTCCGAGTCGAGCACTCTCTCTGAGAGCTCGATCCGCGCCTGCTGCAGCAGAGCCCGCCTCTGAGCACTGCACGCAATCCCCGGGACCTCTCTCTCTCTCTCTCGCGCGCGCGCGGCGCGTGTGCGCGCGCGTGCGTGCGCGCCTGCCGATCGCCGCCCCGAGTCGAGAAGGCGCAAAACCCGGCCGTCTTTTGCAGCTTGCGGTTCCACACCAGCGGCAGGTCGGGCGGCAGCTCGCCTCCAAAGACAGCGCCGTTGTACTCGACGTACAGCCGCGGCGCCAGCAGCCTCAGCCCCCGCTTCTGCTGCGTCCAGCTCGGCGTCGGCGCGGGCTTGCGCCCCGCCGCCCGCGCCGGAGTGGCGAGGGCCCGGGGGGTCGCCCGAGGTGTCAGTGCCGTCAGCGCGGCCGAGTCCGCCGCGGAGGCGCCGCGCTCAACTGGCGCCGGCTCCTCGTCGGACGACACGACGCGCCGGCCGATGCGGAAGCTGTTTGGAGCGCGGTCCGAGCTCGCGCCTCCGGAGCTGCTCTCGCCGCCCGAGCTGCTCTCGCCGCTAGGCTCGACTCCCTCGCCAGCGTCGGCCGAGCTGCCGGCGGGAGGCCCTACAGGTCGCAAGGCGCTGCCCGGTTAGCCCCCCCCCCCCCCCCGGAGGGGGGAGGGCCCGGGGGGTCCCCCAAGGGGTTAGTGCCGTAAAGGGGGCCGAATCCCCCGGGGGGGGCCCCCGCTCAAAGGGGGCGGGTTTTTTTTTGGAAAACAAAACCCCCCGGCCAATGGGAAAATTTTTTGGAGGGCGGTCAAAACTCGCCCTTCGGGAATTTTTTTTCCCCCCCGAGGGGCTTTCGCCGAAAGGCTCGACCCCCCCCCCAAGGTTGGCCGAACTCCCGGGGGGGGGCCCCCCAGGTTCCAAGGGGCTTCCCGGTTAACCCCCCCCCCCCCCCCCCCCCCCCGAGCGTGGCCTCTCGCCTCCTCCCTCAGACTCGGACTCGTCGTCCGGCACGATGAAGCCGCCGAGCGAGTCCGCCTCGCTCGCCTCGCTGCCCCGGCCGGCGCTCTCGCGCCGCCCCGCCACGCGCCGCGGAGGCGGCGGCGAGGCGGGCGACGAGGCGGGCGACGAGGGCGAGGGGATCGTCGGCAGGCGTCGCGCGCCAGCCTCGTCGGAGCCGCTCAACACGATCATGCGCGGCGTGTGCGATCGAGGAGCAGCTGCGGGTCTGGCCGGCCGCCGCCCGTTGGCCGGCAGGTTCTCGCCGTCGCTATCGTCGCTATCGTCAGAGAGGACGACCCGGCGGCCCCATCCCGGCGAGACCAACCACGCGGGGACAAGCGCGCGAGACGGCCGAATGGCAGCCTGACAGCCAGCAGGAGGCGACATCTGGGGCGGCTCCTCGACGCATTCTGGCGACAGCCTCGGCGGCGGCGGAGGCGGCGGCGGTGGCGGCGGCGATCGCAGCTGAGGAAGCGAGGCAGGCGGATCGCCATAGGCATGCCGGTCACTGTCGCTGCCGGAGACCACGGCCCTCCGCCGCCCATGCGTGACGCGCCTTGCCCGAGACACCAACACGGGCGACGAGGCCGGCGAAGCTTGCGACGCAGAGGGAGACGAGGGGGCCGAGAGAGGCTCGGCGGCCGATGCTGGAGCGTCGTCGGCATCGATTGCGTGCGGCGCAGCCGCCTCTTCCTCGCAACACTCGAAGCAGCAAGGCCCAAACGCAAAGTCGCCCGGCGTGGCGAACGGTTCAACGCCGAGCGCGCGGAGCTGCGCGAGCAGCGAGTCGCGCTCCGCTGTGACGCGAAGAAGCTGGCCGCGGCAGGCGGCTGAGCAGCAGAGCTCTGGCACCGGCGGGCGGCGGTGTGCGGCTTGGGCTGCTTCAAGTCGCATTTGCGAGAGAAGAATTCTTCGCGTAATTGACCTCGGAAGCCCTGATACACGATGTTTGAGCGGGGCTGCGCAAATTCTGGGGTCACGCGCACATTCTGGTACGGCCCGAGCATGCCAAAGGCCTCGCCGTCGAAGGCGCCGCTACCGAAGAAGCCGAGGGAGCCGAAGAAGGTGAAGGACGTCGCCTTGATTGAACACGATGCGCGTCGCCAACTACCAGGCGAAGCTGGCCGTCTACGAGGAGGAGATGGCGGCGTACAAGGCCGGCCAGCGGGAGCGCAAGGTGGACAAGAGATCTGCACAGCGGAGGCTCTCGGCAGGCGACGCCGAACCGGCGGCGAAGCGCCCGACGCCGGTGCCGAGCTCCTGACTGCTTCCCCGCGCGTCGCCGCTCGCCCACACTCCACCCAACCCGGCGCCGCCCTGCGCTCACCCTCGCCACCGCCGCACTTGCCCTCCGAATCAGGCGCGGCGGGAGACGCCCGAAGCGTGCGCGGCGGGCTCAGCCGAGGCGCCGCGCGCGCCACCTGCCGAGCCCCTGCGGCGATTACCGCAAGTCCTTCGCGAAGAGAAGGAGGCGGCGGCGGCGGCGCAGCTGCGGCGATGCGACGGCGGCGCGCCGAGCAAGGAGCCGTGCTGCCGCGAATGCGGCCACACTGTCACCACAGCATGGAGGCGCCGAAGCGAGGCACGTGCGACGACATGCTGCCTCGGGCGGCTCGCCGCTGGCGACGACATCGACGTTTGCTTCCGCTGCGAGCCTGAGACGGGATCAGCGGCAGGGGGGCGGTGGCGCTGCCGAGAGTGCCGAGCGGCGGCCGCGGCATTGGCGGCCTCGGTGGCGGCCGAGCTGCCGGCCGGTGCCTCAAAGCGGCAGCGCGCACTGTACCGCATCAAAATGAACATGGCGGCCGCGCCGGAGAGGGAGGCCGAGGCGGAGGCCGAGGCGGAGGCGGGCGCTGGCGCGGCGCAGGCGGCGCGGGCGGCGGCGGAGGAGGCGACGGCGGAGGTGGCGCGGGTGCGGGCGGAGAAGGCGGCGGTGGAGAAGATGGCGCGGTTGCTCTATAGAGAGAGTGAGGGGGCCGCGAGCGAAGCTTGGGAGGCGGAGGAGGCAGCGTTGAGCAGGGTTCGTGACGAGAAAGGCGCGGCCTGGGGTGGTAAACCTCAGGGCGGAGCGCCGAGTGGCATCGAAGCGACCACCGTCAAGTCACCATCGAAGCTAGTGCGGATCCGGAGTCGTCCGCGAATTCCGGCTATCGCGGGGTGAAGCAGACGAGGGGGGAGGCGCAGCTTGCGGCCGAGGCGGAGGCGGCGATGCGGGCGGCGCTGGCAGCGGAGGCGGTCGGGGGCTTGCCTGACGGCGTCGAGCTGCTCGGCGGGCCGCACGCCGAGGTCGAGTATTTCTTGGCCGTGGTTTTGGCGACGAGGGCTGCTGAGTACCGGAGCGAGTGCGCTGCACGGGCTATGCGACAAAGAGATCCGAGGGAGGCCGAGGCGGCGCGGGCGGCGTACCCGGCGGCGGAGGCGGAGGCGGAGGCGGCGAGGGCGTTGAAAGCCGGGTACGAGGCGGCCAGGCTGGGCGGGAGGAGCATCCGCATCGGCTCGAGATCGAACCCCGCTCGAACCGGCGCTCCTTTTGCGGCAAGCTCGGTCAAGTATCCGAACAGCTGGTTCCTTCCGCGGGAGTCTGACGACGAGATGGTTGCGCGCGACCCTCGCTGGCGGCAGAAGAACTACACGTACGACGCGGAGGGCAAGCGGGCGGTCGTCGAGTCGTTGAGGGAGGTGGACTGGCGGGAAGAGCAACCGCTTCTTAATTGTTGGTCGGACTTCAAGCGTCCGGAGGAGTACGGGTTGGCGTACCGAACGGCATACGCGCGGGCGCGGGCAGCTGCGGAGAAGGAGGCGCGGCGGGTCAGCGGTGGGCGTGTGGGTCCTTGCGCGTTTCGTCTTCAAATGGCTTGTCGAGCGACCTTGATCGCGTCAACCCCCGCCTTCGTTGTCTGCGTTTTGAAGCGCTAGAGCCGGGGCTGCGCTCCGGATCGTGGAGAATGGGAGGGAGGGAAAACGAAAGGCGCTCCCCGCCACTATCACCCCACCGACCACGGTCCCCGCGCTGCGGCCTGGCTGGCGCCGGCAAACCCGGCATCCGCGAGCCGGCCGCACGGCCAGAGACAGGAGACGTTGACGTCGCCACCATCGGGCGGGCGCGCCTGGCGCCCCACATGTTACGCGGAGGGAGGGGGGGAAGGACCAAGGTCCAAGCCGACCACCCGCGCCGGCAGCCGCGAGTCCTGGCGGTGGCTCCGGCTGACCCTGGCGCGCACACGCAAGATCGCGACGCCTGCCTGGCGGGCGGGAGCCGCACTCCACCTTCGTCTCCAGCCAGCCGGCTTGCTTGCAAATGAAACGCATTTCCTCCCATTCGCGATTCGTGCGTATGCGGTATGGCAGACACTCTATCCTTTTTCAGTGTATGTAGCTCTTACGTACATTCCCGTAGGAGACTCTGCTGACAGGGTTTGCGATGAGGAGCGACCCGAAGGGTTTCTCGGTTTTTGGACCTGAATGGAGTGGAAAATTAAAAACTCCTCCGGGAATGTACGTAAGAGCTACATACTGAAAAACTTCCGCGCAGTCTATGAGAGGGTGAGGTGGAGGCCCAGCGATGTGCGACTAGGTGTGCGATTTTTTCGGCGACTCTGACGCTGTCATCTTCGGCGCCGCCATGCCAAAGCCCGAGGCTCACCGGGCAGGCAAGCAGCGAGGCGGCCGAGGCGCCTGGCGTCGTCGCCACCGCGGCATGGCTGCAAAGGAGGTCGGCGCCGAGGGCGGCAGCGTGGTGCCGAATGCGAGCTGGTGGAGTGACGAGCAGGTCATGCTCCCGGGCGGCCTCATGTGCCCAAAGCCGCCTCCGTACGCCGCCGCCAAGCCGCAGCTTCCGACCGGCCTCGCGAGCGCCGAGACGCCACGCCTCACCGCGGAGCTCGCCAAGAAGCACGCGTCAAAGGACAATCTCCTGATCGCCACTTATGTGAACTTCAACCGGCTCGACTTTGCGCTGACGCTGGTGATGCACCTGCTGGCGATGGGCAACCCGCACTATCTTGTCGGCGCCATGGACGACCAGGTTGGCCACGCGCTCGCCTCTCGCGGCGTCAACACCTTTTTCATGTCGACGGGGCTAACGACGAGGGACACGGGCTGGGGCACGCCCGCCTTCCGGCAGCTGGGGCTGCACAAGGCGAACCTCGTGCTCGAGCTCGCACGCACGGGCGTCGACTGCCTCACCGTCGACGCCGACGCGCTCCTGCTCCGCGACCCCTTCCCGTACCTGCGCGCGCTGCCCGACGCAGACGTGCTCACCTCCTCGGACTACCTCGTCGCGACCAACGGCTACGCAGACGAGGGCCTCGAGGGACGAAGCGCCTTCGGTGCCGCCTTCAACATCGGTTACATCTTTGTGCGCGCCACGGCCGTCGAGTTTGTCAAGCGCTGGTCCAAGGCGTGCCACCGCGACCCAAACGCGTGGGACCAAAACCTGTTCAAGTCGATCCTCCACTCGGGCGGGCGCCGGGGGCGGTCATCCGCGCCAACGGCCGCCAAGCCCGGCAACCCGCGGCTGCAGCCCATGTTCACCACCTCGGAGGGGAGGCAGCTGATGGTCGGCGTGCTGCCCGTCTCGCTCTTCGCCTCTGGCCACACCCACTTTGTCAGCCGGATGGCGCACCTGATGCATACCACGCCCTACATGGTGCACACCACCTTCCAGTACGGCGGCGCGCAGGGCAAGCGCCACCGGCTGCGCGAAGGCGGGCGTGGGTGGGTGGGTGGGTGGGTTGGGGGGGGGAGGGGGGGGTCCGCGCCGCGCCGCCCGCCCCTCACAGCCGCGCTTGTCTGCGAGCAGGCATGATGTGGGAGGACGGGCCGGAGTACTACGCAAAGCCGCAGTTCCTCGCGTACGAGCTCGACCTGCCGTACTCCCTCGTCTACCCGAACGGAGGCAAGCCCGGCTCCGACGGCACCGTCCCCTTTGGCCAGCGCACCACCGTCGAGCAGCACTTCGCGCTCGTCCACCACCAGCTGCGCCAGCTGCGCAACGCGCTCGCGCTCGCGCAGGCGACCGGCCGCGTGCTCATCCTGCCGCGGCTCGTGTGCGGCCTCGACCGCGCGTGGATGCCGCACAGCGGCATCTTCCCCGGCTCGGCGGCGCGGCTGCCCCTCCTCGACTGCCCCGCCGACCACGTCATCGACCTGGAGCGGATCGGCAGGCCCGAGGAGCTGCTGCGCGAGCATTCCTTCCTCTGCAACCCGCGCACGCCCGCGTCGGTGCGCGGGTCGGTCGTCCGGCTCGCGGGCACGCCGCCCGACCTGCGGGGGGGTGACACGAGCCCGGCCGCCGCCGCCGCAGCAGCAGCGCTCGTCCAGGAGATTCGCACTTCGCACGCCGGCTCAAAGGCGCCGGCACCTCTCCGCAGGGCCGCACGCGCGGGGGCGGCGTCCCTTCACGCCGCACGCCCCGCTTGTGAGCAGGTGGTCCGCCTGGCGGCGGTGCCGGACTACCGCGCGCTGCTCACCACGTCCCGCGAGGCGCTCGACTTTGAGCGGCGGCACGCGTCGTGGGGGAGCCTCTGGTGCTGCAACCGGCCGCCAAACGGCCGCGGGCCGGGGCACATCTGGTACGACCTTTTCGCCGACGTCGTGCCGCACACGGACCGGCACAACCGCAGGTGGGAGGGGCCGTGGGTGCCAAAGATGGGGCCGTGAGGGGAGAGCGACGTGAGCGCGCGCGCGCGGGTACGCGGTGTCTTCGGGTCGCGGGGCCAGCTTGCCCGAACCCGCAACGCACCGCGTACCCGCTACCTGGGTGCCGCTGCGCCAGCACTGCGAGAGCGCACTTGCGCACATTGCGTGAGAGAAAGAAACAGCTGCGCGCTGTTTGCCTTTGCCGGTTTGCGGGTCGCGCTGCTGGTGCTGTCCTGTATTTCAAGATCGTTGAGACAGGCTAGTTTTGCGCCTGCGGCGGACCCTAAGGATGTGATCAAGATCCTGCTTCCTGCATCCTGCGCGCCGTCTTTTCTTTTTGGAAAAGAATTTCACTTAAACTTTTCTCTTTAACAGAATTAAAAGAAAGAACACGATTGTCAAGACGGCGCGCCGCCACACAGGAGTGGGCCGCTCGCCAGTAAATTCTTTGTGTGCGCGGATGTTCTCGTGGGGCGACGGCTCCTCTCCCACATCGCAGCAGCTTGTCCAGGCGGCGTTGGACGAGGAGAGGGCCGCTGCACGCGTGGCGATGAAACAGGTCGTGGCGGCGGCCGTAGCAAAGACAGAGGAGCGGCTGCGTGCCGAGCGCCGTGACGAGCTGCTGCGGGCGAGGCAAGAGGAGGCCGAGCTGATGGCGTCGCTACGCACCGCGCGTGAGGAGGCGGAGCGGGCCGAGGCCAACTCCGACATCCTGAGGGGCGAGCTCCGTCAATCGGCGGCGAGGGAGGAGGAGCTGGCTTCGCTGCTCGAAGCTGAGCGATCTGCGGGCCGCACCCTCGCCGAGGCGCTCGGCGCGGCGGAGGCTGATGCTGCTGCCGAGGCAACTAGCGCTGCTGCCGCTGCGAGGGAGGCCGTGCTGGCCGAGATGCGGGAGAGTGAGCCTGTTGAGGTGGCGCTGCGGGCAGCGCGGCTTGAGCACGAGCAGGAGAGGCGAGCGGCAGTGGAGGAGGCGTGGGAGCGGGCGGTCGAGGCGACGCTACAGGAGAGCGCAGCGCAGCAGCTCGCGGCGCTGGAGCGCATGCGCGGTGAGCTCATGGCGGCCAAGGCGGCCGCTGCCCTCCAGCTATCAGAGGCGGACGCGCGTCACCAGGCTGAGATGGGGGCGGAGCGTGCGCGCGCGGAAGCGGCCATGGCGGCCAAGCTGAAAGCGCAGAGGGAGTCGCTGGTGGGGATGGCGGCGGCGCAGCTTGACACCGACGCGCTCGTGAGCGACGCCGTGCGTGGCGCCCTCTCTGTTGTGCGCCAGCCACGCCCGGCCTCGTGACTCCCGGCTCGTTTGCAGGTGAGGTTGGTGAGCGATGAGCACTCTCGAGCCGCCCGTCAACAGCGCGAGATCAGCAGAGCCGCCCGTAGAGCCGCCGCGGCTGACCGCGCCATCCTCGTCCGGGAAATCCGCGCTCTCGAGACGGCTGCGGCGATGGGAGAGGGGCACGCTTGAACTCAACAATTTGTGGTACGAGTGTGTAACTGTGTATAGACGAACAAAGAACGCATGCAAGGGAGACCTGTCCGACCTCTTTTCGACCGCCGGCCGTCTGCGCCGCGTCCGGCTCGCGGGTCGCGCGCGCACAGAAGTTGTTGTGCGAGAAGATGGATCTCAGCCCCATCAGAGTCGGTGTGCGCGGCAATGTGTGCGGTATTCGGCTTCCCGGACACGCCCAAGGTGCGGTGCCGTGCGGGTTGCCGTATATTGGTGGACGGTGCGCCCGAACCCCACTGCGCGGTGAGACATCAAAACCCGAAAGGGTTCGCGTCGTCCACCTGCGAGCCCCGCAAGTCCTCCTCAAAGACCTTATTCGACACGAAATCGAAGTCGTCGAAGAGCCGTTGGTCGTGGGGCCCAAGCGGATAAGACTCGCGCATTGAGAGCGAGGTCCTCAAGTAGTCCACCTACAGGCGCAGGGGGTCGGCGTCAGGGCAAAGCACACGTCCCCGACAAGTCGGCGAGAGTCGGGCAGGCCATCTGGCAAAAGTAGTCGAGTTGCCGGCCGTCCTCGTAGCCCTTTGGAATCTGTTGCCTCCTGGGTGGCTCGTCGTCCATGTCGATCTCAAACGGCGGCTTCGAATCCATCGAGAGCAGCCCCTCCCAGTCGATGTCGCGGAAAAAGGCATGCTCGTAGATCTCGATCACCCCTCTCTCTCCGCAGCCACATCGCTGTGACTGGTCACGCTTGAGCAGACCACTGACAATGCTGCACGCCTCGGGCTGCACAAAGCTGGGGAACTCGACATCTTTCGTCTTGCTCAGCTGCTCGCTCTCCGTACGGTTGGCACCGCGGAGTGGGTTTGTGGCTGTCAGCATCTCGATGATGAGGATGCCCACATTCCACCAGTCAGCCGCCTTGCCGTAGTCGCGCTCGTACACCTCTGGCGCGCGGTAGCCGTGCGTGCCAGTGATGGTCATCCGCCGCTTTAGCGTCGGCGGCGCCCCAGCCTTCACGGTCTTGTCGGAGGAGGATGTCGCGCCGTTGCTGATGGCCCCATTCTCTGCAATGCCTCGCGCTGCGCCCATGTCCGCGAGCTTGATGTAGCCGTCGAGCGTCAGCAGCACGTTGTCCGGCTGTGACCACAGAGGGGCGCACATCAGGCGGCGCCAGGCGTGGACCTATGGGCGGATTTACTCCGCCGACCTTGAGGTCGCGGTAGAGGATGTCGAGCTCGTGCAGGTGGTGGGTCGCGAGGACGGTCTGCGCTGCGTAGAAGACGGCGCGTGAGTGCACGTACGGCCCTCGCGATAAGTCCGAGTACATGTTGCCGCCCGCGATGTAGTCGAGGACGAAGCAGAGGTGGTCCTCAGTCTGGAAGGCGAAGCGGAGCGGCACGATGAAGGGGTGCTCCACACTGGCGAGGACCTCTTTCTCGCGAAAGATGGAGTGCGTCTGGTCGGAGCTCTCGACCTTTGCCGATGCTCTTGACCTACGGCAGCAATGCGTACGTGCTTTAAGGACTGGCAAGCAGTCTCCTGGATAACGATGCGCCAATCTACGCAGCTCACCGTGCTAGGAATGGTCACCGAGGTTAGGACGAGGCAGGCAGAGAACATGCCGTCGCCAAGAGAAACCATCCCCTCTGGAATGGTGAGATGCCCTGCCACATCCACATCGCTGCAGCCCACTGCACTCCCCACAGCTCGGCCTGTAGCTGTGTCATTCGAAAGAGCCTATATGGGAAACCAAAATGTGGTGCGCGGGCGGTGTGTTAGCGTTGGGATAGGTTGACTCGCAACCTCACGCACTGGTGCAGCAGCAACACTGGAGGCTAACGCCAGGACCACGACCACCTCCACCCTCATGCACGGCCAAGCCGGCGCGCACCTCGCGCGGGCAGCACGAACGAGGCTCGAATTGGGAGCTGGCACCCCCGACGGCAAACTTGTTCGCCTCCACAAGTTTCAGCGGCATCGATTAAATAAAAGGCTCGATGGGGCCAACGTAGTTTCTTTTTGGTCCTCTACGTTGTAAATTTCCTTTTGGAGACCTTTCGTCATGCACATGCTTCATGCTTTCTATCTATCTATCATGACACAGCTGCAATGGCGCGGCCCCCACAAGTGCGGTCCACGCGCCGACGGGCCGCTTTCGCTTGCGGCCCTTGGCCTCGGCGGCCCGCCGCGATGCGACGCGCTCCGCGGCGTAGGCGGCCGCGAGCTCCGGCTCCCACATCTCCGTGATCTGGTTGTAGCCGTGCTCCCAGATGCCTAGTACCTCCGACGGCCGTAGCTGGCGCAGGTGGTCCACGTCGTTGGGGTTAAGGCCGATGACGAAGAGGCGAGCACCAAGGCGAACTCGCGAGACGAGCACGTGCAAGTCGACCAGCTTGAGCTTCGGGTAGACGCCGGCGCCGCGCTTGCCGAGGCTCGCTTGGCGACGGGCGGCGAAGCGGCGGGGAAAGCAACGGCCAAGACCGGGCAAGCGGCAGCGGAAGAGGCGGATGCAGCGGCGGCGTGGTCGGCGGGTGCGTCGGGCCTGGCGACGGGCGGCGAAGCGGCGGGGGTGCAACTGGAGCCCGGCGGGTCGTGAACGTCAGCATGCGAAATGATACCATAACAATCGCTTCGTCGTAGCCGGGGAGAACGCCGAGGTGCAGCCGGCTCGACGAATGCAACGGCGGCGTGGTGGGCGGGAGCGGCGGTGGAGCAGGGGGCGACGGCGAGGTTGCATCCGGAGCCCGGCGGGTCGATCTGCATCGGCTGCACGTCGGCCACGTCGGCTTCTGCCAGCTCTGGCTGCTGGGCGGCGGTCGGCGTGGAGAATGGCAGGACAGTTTGGGGCGCATTTGAGAGCGCTGGCCCCGACGCGCCGTCGGTTTGGTCGGGGTGGTTCCTCGCCCCTGGTGTTTCTTCATTTCGTCGGGGAGGCTCTGTGCAGGGCGAAGCGAGGGCCGTGGGGAAGGGGCCAGTGGGGCGATGGGCACAGAGGGGGCAGTGACCCGATGTGTGGGCAGGTCTAGGTCTGGCTGTGTGGACAGCCAGCAGCGAGAGTAGGATGTGCTCAGTACCTGTGTACGAAGGACAGAGGCGGGTCGGAAGGTCGAGACTGCTGACCGCTCCACCATTGTCCCCCGCCGCCGGTGGACGCTGCGTGCGATGCTGTCGTCGGTATGCAGGAGGCGTGCTAAAGTGCTAGCGGGGTGGACGCGACGACCTGGCGTTGCCATCGCGGAGGGCTCGGGCTCGAGTGAGCGCCGCTGCCCAGTGTTGTGCGAGCGAGTTTGGCTGAAATTCTAATCGGCGCAACCCTGGCGAGGTACTCCCACGCCTCTCGGGGTTTTTGTCTGGCCGAGTCAACCCGAGACAGCCTCGGCGAGACTGCGTCAGCTGTTCCCACAGCAGGCTGGAAGTACCTCGCCAGGCCCAGCTATTTCTTGTCATAACAAGGCTGTGAACGCGGCCAAATACCCCCATTTTGGCTGTATCCGGCTCCGGCGCGTTCGATGACAGACGCGTTGAGCCAGCCACTCGTCGGGGCCGCCGAGCGTGAGGGCACGGCGACCGTGCTCCAGTCAAGCATAGTCCTCTTCAAAGCGGTTGTGGGGACGGGTATCTTTGCGCTGCCCCCTGCTATCCGCTCCTCAGGCTGGCTGCTCGGCGGCGGGCTGGTGCTGTTAATGGCGGGCCTTTCAACGTACACAATGCTCCTGGTGCCTCTATGCGTGCAGGAGCTGCGCATGCGCGGCGTGGCCAGTAAGCACGGGGGCCCTCTCGAATTCCAGGACATGACTGGCGCCGCCTTCCCGAGGATCAATGGTCCCATCACAGTTGCGTGCGTCTTTGCTAGTCTTGGAGCCATCATCGGCTTCTTCGAGTTCGCTGCGGACAACCTGCGGGCCGTCTCGCCTCACCTTGAGCGATGGCACATGGTTCTTGCCGTCGCGTTGTTTGAGGCTCCCCTCTCGCTGCTGCGTTCCACTTCTCACCCCATTTTTCGCCTTTCCATGGCCTTTGGAAACGTGGCCGTCGCGCTGGCGGCTGGCTCTGTGCTAATCTTTGGGCTCTGGGTCGATGGGTTGCTCCCGGTCTCTCAGCTCAAAGTCGCGGACGCCGGTGGGCTCGGGCTGAGCTTTGGTGTGTGCGCCCTCCGCTAAGCTCCACCACCTTGATCTGGGCCTGAAACGCTCGCTCCATCGACGCCACCTCCTCCTTCTCCTGTTCGCGCAGGTGTGTGCCTTTTCATGTTCTCAGCGCACATGGAGATCGTGAGCGTGGAGCAGGACATGGAGGAGAGGGGGCGCGTGACCGAGGTGGTGCTCGGGACCTTTGCCGTCATCACCGTCTCCCACCTCTTCTTTGGCCTGCTCGTGTATGCGTCTTTTGGCGAAGCGACTGGCCGCCGGTGGCAGGGCGACGAATGGGTCGAGGAGACGATTCTTCAGAACATCGGTCACTCGCCCATCTCGCTCGCGGTTAAGATCGCGATGAGTGCGAATCTCTGCTTCATGATGCCGATGACTTTGCTACCCGCGAGCAAAGCTATCGAGAACAGCCTCGGCGTGTCACGACTCGCATGGCCTCGGCTCGCCAGCTCAGTCACCCGCCTGTCGCTCGTAGCCGTGCTCGCCGTTGGCGCGCTTGCGCTGCCTAGTTTCGAGGTGACCGTTGCCTTGATTGGCAGCGCAACCGGGCTCTCCACCTTCACCGTGCCTGCAATCTGTTATCTCAAGCTCTGTGGGCACCACGTCTCGCGGCTGCATCAGGCCTGGTTGGTCCTCGTCGCCGCGTTCGGCCTCGTGGGGATGGTCTTTTCGCTGGCGCAGCTCCTGATTCAGCAGCTTAGTCACTAGCTCTTTCCCTCACCGCAACCGGGACCAACAACCATGACCCCCGCCCCTGCCCTCTGCTCCCTCAACTCCTTTGTCCTTACACTTGAGTCTTGACTCTCACATGTGCTTCACATTCCTGTCCCCTCTCTCAGCTGAAGTCCTGCTGACAGAGACTGAGACAGCCTCTCTCGCGTAAAGCCGTACGTACTGTCAACGAAGTCATGGATGTGTCCCACACGGTCGTGTATGTGTGTCGGTCTCTCATACCACTATTACTGGAATAAATAAACAAAGAGTCATGAAAATCCAAAATCCAAAACCCAAACATAGGAACCCAAACACACACACAGCCAGCAGCAGCACGCGCGTGGCACATATGAGCCAGAGTAGGAGGTGAAAATAAAAACGGACACCGCTCTCGTACTGTGAGATGGGTAAAAAGGAACAGGTCCCCGCCTCTGCGACAATTACCACTATTACTGAAAAATTGCGGCCTCGTCGAGAGACGAGAGCGCCTGCCTCGCTGGACGCTGCTGCGTGCACTGGCCGCGCCGCGCGCGCGCCCGGGGAGTTTATGTGTCGTGCTAGACACGTCGTGTTTTTTTGCATATGCACATGCACATGCCGGCATTATGTTATAGTTCTCTTCAAGTCTCACTCGTTCGCCCCGTCAGTTTTATACTACGGAGTCGACGCATCTCATGTCATTGTCAGCGGGGGGTCGCATCCAGGAGCCACCTCCTCCACCACACCATCATCGCGAGGGTCCCCACGGAGCCGCCTGGGTAGCTGATCCCGGCGGCGGTGGGCCAAGTGTCGTCGGCGATGGGGCCGATGCTGAGGGCCGCGAGAGCGCGCCTGGAAGGTAGGGAGGGGCGAGCGTGTGATGGCAGGCGCGGCAGGCACGGCAGGCGCGGCAGGCGCGGCAGGGCCGAAGCGGGCTGCGGCGCACAGGAACTCAAAGAGCGGCACGGAGAGGAGCCAGGCGACTACGACTCGCGCGACGCCTCCGGGCGCCGAGGCGTGCTCGTCGGCCGGCAGGGAGAGCCAGTCCTCCGCGAGGGCGCCGCTCGCCGCCGCCGAGACTCCCCACGCCACGACGTGCGACGCGCACGTGTCGAACGTGAAGGCGATCTCCTTGGCGTCCTGCAGCGTCGGCAGGCCGGGAGGCACGAACGCCTCGCCCGAGAAGCAGAGGCCGACGATCGCGAAGAAGAGGGCGTACAGCGTGAGGACTGAGCGCAGGGCGGCGAAGGGTCAGTGCGATGCAGAGGGCGGCGGCGGCCGAGGCCGCGCGCGCGGCAGCACCGCAGCTGTCAAGCACGACCAGCATCGGCGAGAGGCGGGGCTCCACGCCGGCGTCGGCGCGGCCGGCGGCCACCTCCTCCGCCGCGCCCGCCTCGACGTCGACTCCGTCGAGCCGCAGGCAGGGCGAGGCGGCGGGCGCGTCGAGCACCGCCCGCAGGGGTGCGGTGGTGAGGCTCGAGCTGCTGAGCGCGAGGCGAGGCAGGAGGGCCGCCCTCCGAGGAGCCGTCAGCGTGAGCGGGTACCGAAGGATCGGGCCGGCGGCGAGCCCGCCAGAGGCAGGCAGCCCGCCCGAGAGGCTCGGCAGCGTGAAGCT